ACAAAATTGTGCACGTATCTCTAAATATAGAAGCTCAGATTGATTTTATTTCTGCAAGCGGCCAGAAGCTAATAATTAGCCCCAAGTATTGTTATCAGACACAAATATTGTAGTTTGAAACAAGACGTGTGATGATTCTTCAGACTGTTTATATCAGTTATGTATCGAAAGCGTAATGTTGGCCGAGCGTTGCCGATAACGATAGTCGGACAACACGAGATTAAATTCGTGGACAATTCAGGAGAAATGTACAGATAATAGCTGCAAGTGCACAAGTACGCGAAGTATGATGGAACACGAGAGATTTACATAACGCGGGGGCCATACGCGAGTTTCGAACAAGTGAAAACACATGTGACGTTCCCGAGTACAAGGTCGATCGGAACGCGAACTTTATAAGAGAAAGGATCAACTCGCGGCTTCTTCGAGCAAACGAGAATACGTACGTATGCATGCACTTGGACTCCAAATGGAGGAGCGTCGTTTTCCCGAATTGCGAATTGTTCGCTCGTTCGATTTACATATATTTCACATATATCTCGTAATTAGCGAGCAAAATACTCGTGACTTCGAGAGCTTTGACACGAACGTCTAGGCTCTAGACGTATATTTGCATCTCTATGATGCTGTGAGAATATTAAACGAAATTAAGCGTATTCGATGAGAGGAATTTCGACGTGATCTGTGTTCTATGGTTATAAATACAACGAACGGTCGCTTGTAAATTCAAAATATCCTCGTACGTATCAGCAAATGAAATTCCACGGTATTAGCTCGTGCACCGTTCATGAATTATTAAATGATTCGGATTCAACGTGTCACTGTACTTGCGATGCTCTTCATTTGATGTTAATCCACGCAGACGTCGATAACCCGAGGTTTTAGTTTCGTAATTTAATTTAAGTCGCGATTGCATTCTCTGTTATATCCAAATGTAAGTAAGCGTTTCCTTCACCTGTTCAAACGAAACGCGTCGAACGAACAGGCCTAAGCTAATAACCGAAGTTCATCGAAGCATTTTGGAGCTTCGGGGCAGTCAATTTCAAGGCAATTGAAAGAAGGAGGAGAAAAAAAAGAGACAGGCTTTATGTCGAATTATCTGTTGCTCGAGGTACAATTTGAATTAGCTTCTATTCAATACTGAACGTCATCAATTCGTTGTCAACGACGAAAGAGAAAGAAAGAATGAAATCTGGGCTACGTATCTATTCTCTTCTACTTTGTCGATCAATGGCGGGCCAATTGAATCGCAATGAGATACAATGACCACTATGGCTGATGCAGAGATCGAATCGGTATTACTGGCAAAATACCGGTATTTTTAGGTTACTATTCGATTACGTTTGATGAAACCGAAATGGTGCGAATACCGGTATGATGCTATCAAAACGATGTTAGGTCGGTAGATGTATTTCGGTGTAATACCGGTAAATAAAATATTAATATATTAGAAAAGGAAAAGGAGACAATGATTAAATGTTTTCATAAAGCTGCCGATAGTAAATTTGACGACGCTTATACATGTATCCTTTATTAATTCATCGTTGTATCTCCATACAATATCGGCCACGATACTTTTACTTAATTTTAAAAGATGACCGATTTCTCGATACGTTTTTCCTTTTTCTCGGTGAAAAATGACTAATTGTCGTACGTCAATAAATCGAAAGAGGAGTTAAAACAACGATTAATCGTAGAATGGAAGAATATTCCGCTAAATTACTTAAAAAAAATTACTGGAAATATGCCTAAGCGTCTGCGATATATNGTTTATGTTAACAATTTTCAGGTTCAAATATTGTAGTTCTTCAAATGTCCGAATATTTTTGCCACGCTACATTTCGACATAGTTCAGTTTATTGTTTGATATTAAAAAAAGCATGTGCAATAAATAAATAAAATTTATGTTATTACAAACTATAATGAATGTTCTATTATATTATTAAAAAATTAATCCAAATTTACTATCACAAACAATCGAAATCCACAACAATATTTTGAATAGCACGATATCCGAATATTAATAAGAGTCACCGTACGTAGAAAATGAAAAATGTGTTTTCGTCAGTAAAGCGGTACCGTACCGATATATATTTCGGTATTTTTACCATCGTGGACATCAAATGCCGATAAAATACGTATGAAAATACCGGTATGACCGTCTTATACCAGTATTATAACCGATTTCCCAATTATATTATGATAATATGGGAGCAAATAAACCGGTATAATATTTAATTAAACCTCAAAATATTTCGATTTTCAGTCTCTGGGCTGATGTATCAGAAAATTGTCACATGTACACATGTACAACTTCGTTCGTGAGTATATGCAGATCTTACAGCGTGATAATTGCCACCCGTTATAACTGGTATAAAAAGCTTAATTACGTAGTTCGTAATTGACGAGACATTTAGATTCTTTGTATCGCAACATTCCAACGAAATAACAATGATTTTGTCTGAATTGCCGTCATACTTTTGAATGCGAGGGGTGAAAGGTGGTGAATTGGGGGCGACATTCGCGCGCGTGGCCCAATTAGATCGTCCGTTCGCATATTTATCAGTTTGTTTGATCCGACGTTTATTTAACTGACAATGGTTGTTGGACGGCCGAGCACTTGGCCGCGCCACCTTTTCAGCCACCAATCAATGGGAATCTTTAGCGTTTGCTCGGGCATTAACTAGTAGACAAGCACAACGAGCAGATGCGATGTTAACTTACGTAATTTCTAAATGAACGACAACGAACGTCGCCTCTCAGCCACGAGCAACAAAACGTCACGGGACTTTCCCTAAAAAAAAATTTGCACGCTTCTTTGGTCTCTTTTTCGCCATATGTCTCTCTCTCTCTCTCTCTTTCTTGTCGATAATACGTACATCTTTCTTTTCTCTTTCCTTTCTTGTTATGTTTACATACAAGCCTCGTTTTTTCTTCTTCTTTACGTCACCTTTTGGTATCCTCTTTCTCTTTCTTTCTCTCCGTGTGCGGAGAATTTTTCCTCCTAGCGTTTCTTGAATGAATTACACATCCATTTCGTCTCGCAGCGAAAAATAAAGTATCAACTCGCAGACACCGTCTTTTATTTCGACGACGTCCGAAATAAGAACATTGACGCAGAACCAGCGATGAAAGTGAACAAAGTTAACACTGGAACTTCGACAATCGAAATGAAACGAAACGTGTCAAAGAGGAAAGTAAACTGCGACCTACTTATTTTACAAAAAGAAAAAAAAAAAGAAAAAATCATTCAGAAACATTTCTTTCGAAATCTGATTTGACTCTAGTAGCTTCAATGTTAAATCGAATCGAACATTCGATGTGTTTCGTATAGATCGCGCCATTTCGATATATATATGTATATAAGTACATATACGTATGTATGTATGTAGGTCTCGAATCGTAAATATTCGTGTACCACGCGTACGGTGAACGTAATTCATAAAAATACAAATCGTATGATACAAATTTTGCAATACTTTATAGAATTTCTCGCCATTCATGATAAGTAATTGCATAAATTTCAATTACGTATATCATAAAAGACGTTTAAAATAAATAATATAATAGACGACTATAAATAATGTAATATTTATATATTAATTATAATAATTTAATATTGTATAAATCTGATTACGATCGTCGTTTTTATCTGTTCACAATGTTACGTTAACAAGTATAATGTACGTTAACAACTATATATGATTTATTCACCGTGTTTTGCAACGAATCTTAAATTTGGGTCTTGATCGTAACTACATATGCGCATGCGCGCACGAAACGTAATTTTATACTTTCTTTATTGCGATCATTATTTTCCTATCTTCAAACATGATTTCACATTTTATTTTTTATTTCTTGCATAATCGAAACAACTAAACCATCGAATATTCGTCAAAAAGGTTATGTTAAAACAATACAACAAAATTAAAAAAAAAAAAATAACACGCGTACATTGTTCTGTTACTAATCAGTTATAACTATACTCGTATTTAAAGTCATTTTAACGATTGCGTATCATTATGAATATGTAATTTCAAATAACTCGTTTAAAATCCAGAGTTTCTTTGTGATTAAATCCTTTGAAACATAATTAATTTTCTATCACAAAATTTTTGTGTTAACTAATAATTTGTCAAACGTGCAGGAAACCAACAAAGCGTGTACAACGATTATATTATATCGAAATGCTCAAATGCGCTGGTCGGTATTAAAATGGGAGGTCATCGGCAAATCCTCGGTAAAAAAACCTGTTGCTTCGCTTACGTTGTCAGGAAGTTTAAATCTTTATCGTTAAAACTTATAGGAAAGGTGCCAATAGGAAGCTGGAACTTTGGGCCAAGTTTACAAATAACAGATCGATGATAATTCGGCCGATGTTTAATACTACGATCGCACGAAGGTGAAAAGAGAAGTTCACGACGGTATCGTATCGCATCGCGGAATTTAAAATCGCAACCGTCATCCTCATCCGCGTTGAAAATTTTCTCAAACGCACGGTTTTTTTATCCACCGTTGAAGCGTTCTCGGCGTCCGAAAATTACGCACGACAGGCGAACACTTCGGTAAATTTATTCGAAGCAACTTGAAAAATCTCGGCAAGATTTCATCGATATCTTTGAACACGGACGGTGTAATTGACGGGACGGCACACTTGCGATCGTCAATCAGCATGTGCCGAAATCTTTCGCCATAAATCGTGATCGTTTGACCTTTCCACGCGGGAGCGTACGTTCGTTGTAAAATATGCACTTACCGAAAACCACTAATCCTTGATAAAGGACGACGAACACTGGGGAAATACGACAGAGACGACATAACCCGCGCACCAAACTAAACCGGCCATATTGTTTACTGGAACAGCATTTAATCGTGTGCCTGTGTGCCTGCTTTCACTGTTTTGCGGATCTCTCGTGAAAAACGATTGCAGCGCACTCTGATGTAAACTAACTTAGATTTGTTGACGTTCGACTCGGATTGGTAACATCGAGACGAGATTGCGACGATCCGACCGTGAATCTAGTAGAATACAGTTTATATCGATACAAACTATTATTCGGAGTAATTTTCTACAGACGGAGTAGAGAGGGAGTTCATAATTGAAAAGGATCTAAATATTATTCGCTGTGTATTTATTACAGCTCGACATTCGGACGTAACGTATTTTTCTTCGATACAACTTTCAGAAACTGTTACGAATGTTACAATATTCATCATCGTTAGTTTATTGTTAAGCGCATATTGCATCTTGGCACAATTCATGTACACTAACGGAATCATCGAAGTTGTGTGAGTTGTGAGAAATCATCATAAATGAAATTGTCTCGTCAATTTTAAATTTTATATATTATCTATATTAATTTTATATATAATCACAGTGTAGTTGTCAAAGTTCATATTTTTTCTCTAAATGTTTTATAATCTGTTAGTTAACCAGAATTAAACGTACTTTTATCAAGATCGTTATCAATAAGATATATTTACTATTTTCAAAATCTCATGAAATTAACTATATCTTGCTTGAAATATAGATAGTTAAAAGATAGATATAAAATGAAAATATGAAATCTTCTCAAGGAGATTTAATAAATGCATTATTTTCTATTTCAGAGATATTTACTAGATATAAATAATGCCACGCAGAAATCGTCATAAGAAAACTCCTCTTATTGGAGAGGATACCAGAATTGCAGTAAATTTAACATTAAAGAAATTATTACAAACGCCTGATCAAAAAGAATTAGAATTTCCATCTTCATATACTGCAGAAGAAAGAGCCTACATTCATAAATTAGCATATGAACTTGGATTAAAGTCTAAAAGTAGAGGGTAAGTTGAATGATAATAAAACTACTTTATGTTGATTATGTGAAAGAGAATAAATCAAAATTTTTTTTTTAACAGTAAAGGTACAAATCGTTTTTTAACCGTGTATAAAAGAGAAGGATCAACTATTGTTCAAGCTGATGCTGTAATAAAATTACAAAAAGCATCAAAACAGAGTATCTCTAATCTGTTACAAGCTTTTCCAATTAATCATAAGGAATGTCAAGATTTATTACCACCAATTGAACGAGAACGGCCTCCTAATACAGATGGTATTCTGATATTTATATATTCAATATATATGTAATTAAATTACAAAATTGAGCTTGTAATCTATAATTTTTAGTTTCAGTGAATACAAATACAAAAGCAATGGGTAGATTAAACAACAGTGTGCCTCAAATACCACAACTAAAAACTAATTTTGATGTATTGAACTATCGCAAAGCTCTCCCAATTTTTAATTTTAGGGATGATATTCTTGATGCGTTAAGTGTTAATCAAGTGATCGTAATAGGAGGTGAGACAGGTAGTGGTAAAACTACTCAGGTCCCACAATTTATTCTTGATCAGTGCCAGCAAAGACAACAACCATGTAGAATTATTTGCACTCAACCAAGAAGACTGTCAGCTATTTCAGTAGCTGAAAGAGTAGCATTTGAGAGAGATGAAAAAGTTGGTCAAACGTTTGGTTATCAAATAAGGCTTGAAAGTAGAGTTGCTCCAAAAACTCTTGTAACATATTGCACAAATGGTGTACTTCTTAGAACTCTTATGGCAAATGATTCAATTCTAAGTACTGTCACGCATGTTATTGTAGACGAAGTTCACGAACGTGATAGATTTTGCGACTTTCTTTTAATAGCATTAAAAGATGCGTTGCAAAAACATAAGTCTCTTAAGCTTATTCTTATGAGTGCCACGTTGGATGTAAGCATTTTTGTGAAATATTTTAACAAATGTGGAGTTATAAATGTCTTAGGCAGATCATATGATGTCGACGTGTATTTTCTTGAAGATGTTTTAAAAATGACTGGTTACATGACGAAAGAAATGCTTGCAAAGAGGAAAGAATTTATAAATAAAAAAGATCAATATAAAATTTTAGAAACTTGGACTCAATATAAACCTCAACAGTCAGGATCAAATACTATGAATGAAAGATGTATATTATCTGCACCAATTTTAGCACAACAGAATGAACCAGTTCCTGAAAAAATAAAATTAGAGCCGTGGTTAGTTGAAGAAATGGATAAAAGTATCTCTGACGCATGGTTACGCGGCGGCGAAGACAATTTTGCACAACTTTTATATTTCATACTTTCCGAAAATGTTTCGGTAGATTATCAACATTCCATAACATTTGTAACTCCGCTTATGGTCGCCGCAGGTAAAGGATGTATAAATACCACAGAACAGCTTTTAAATTTAGGCGCAAATTTAAATTTGCGAGCAGCAAATGAATGGACTGCATTAGATTGGGCAAGAAATATGAATCAAACGGAATGTGCTGAGTTAATAGAAGCATATATGAAAACTTACGATTGTACATTGCAGGATGAAACCAAAGTACATGCTAAAGATATTTCACTTTCAGAGGAAGATAAATTTTTATTAGATGTGTATCAACATACGTTTAACGATGACAAAATTAATTATGACCTTCTTTTACAATTAATTTTGTATGTCCATTTAAAGATGCCGCCTGGTTCTGTTTTAATATTTTTGCCGGGGTATGATGATATTGTAACTATGAGAGAAAAGATAAATAACGAGGAAAAAGAAATGAATAAGGGTTTGCGCTATAATTTATATATGCTTCATTCATACATGCAAATATGTGATCAGAAAAAAGTATTTAAACCAAGTCCTGTGGGATCTCGAAAAATTATTCTTTCAACAAATATAGCTGAAACAAGTATTACAATTGATGATGTTGTATATGTTATTGATTCAGGAAAGGTTAAAGAAAAATCGTTCGATGCCTTATCGGGAGTATGTACACTTAAGTCTAATTGGATTTCTCAAGCTTGTGCAAAACAACGTAAAGGTAGAGCAGGTAGATGTAGGAAGGGCATTTGTTATCGGCTGTTCTCGTCAATTCGATATAATAGTATGGAGCCTTATCAAACTCCAGAGATCTTAAGATCACCACTGCAAGAATTATGTTTATATACAAAACATTTAGCTCCTGGAAATACACCCATTGCAGAATTCTTAGATCGGGCACTGGAACCACCTTCCAATGTTATAACGAGAAATGCAGTTCAATTATTGAAAACTATCGATGCATTAGACCCATGGGAAGATCTCACTGAAATAGGAAGTCATTTGCTTGACTTACCAATTGAACCACGACTTGGGAAAATGTTATTGTATGCTGTTGTTTTGAAATGCTTAGATCCAGTCTTAACTATTGTATGTAGTTTAGCATACAAGTAAGTCAAAATTTGCATTATTTTAAACGCACGTAAAATAATTAAAATCATTATTATTTCGCATAATACTTTTCAGAGATCCCTTTATATTACCGTTACAACCATCACAAAAGAGAGCTGCAATTGCAGCACGTAAGAGATTTGCGACCAATACATATTCCGATCATATGGCAGTTTTACGTGCTTTTCAAGGTTGGCAGAATGCACGTGCAAGTGGCAAAGAACGCATATTTTGTGAACAAAATTTTATTTCGGCTGCTGTGATGGAAATGGTTGTTGGAATGCGTACACAAATTCTTGGTCAACTACGTGCATCTGGATTCATTAGAGCAAGAGCACCAGGAGATATTAGAGATCTAAATTCTAATTCTGAAAACTGGGCAGTAGTAAAAGCAGCTCTGACTGCTGGTTTATATCCAAATGTAATAAGAGTAGACAGAGAACATTTGCAATTAAGGACACAGTACGTTATTTCTTTAATTCTCCCTATATTATACTTTTATATAATATGATATTTATTTACCTTTTTTGATAATTGATTTTGCAGAAAAGAAGTGAAAGTATTTTTCCATCCATCATCAACTTTAAGAGATTATCCCAAGTCACCAAGAACGACATTTACACAAACATATTCAGCTAATGTGGAAGCTTTACCCTGTGATTGGTTACTCTATGAAGAAATGAGTCGTACAGGACGATTTTGTCATGTTAGAATGGTCACATTGGTTAATCCATTAACAGTGGCATTGTTCTGTGGACCAGCAAGATTGTCTGTAGATGTAATCTATGAAGCTGAATGTATGTGATATCTAACTATTCGATATAATATATTTGATTATTATATCATAATATCATGATTTTTTAAATTTACAGCTGTACCAGAGAGTGAGTCAGATTCTGAGGTTGATGAAAGTAATGAAGGAACGATTTTTAAACTTGACGATTGGGTAGTATTTAAACTTGATCCAGAAACTGTCAGACTTTTTTTATATTTAAGACAAAAATGGAATGCTCTGTTTTTGAGACGTATGAAAACTCCAAATAAAACAATGTCGCAACTTGATGAGAAGGTGGTCAGTGTCTTAGTTAGTGTCATTACAAATGAAGAACAGGCATGTGGATTACAACAACCGTCTGGTATTGGCCAAAGACCGCGACCATTGATTGTTGACTATTACCCTATAAATGTTAGGAGAACAGATGACTTTGTAGAGGTAATTTTTTAAATCAATTATTAAAAACTCAATTATTATAGTTATGTATTAATGTAAAATTTATTTTCCTTTTTTAGAGGAATTTTTAAAATTGGTTGGAAGAAAATCTTATTAAGTATTATCTATAAGAGATATTTTATTTTCTTGGTTCCTATGTGTTATTTAATACGTAAGCATACAACGATATTCCTGTATTTACATAATTTTAATGACATTTGGATAGATTGCTTCTGAAATAGACAAGGTCAAAGAAATGAATTGCCAGTGATTGTAGGATAATTGCAGTTTCATTGAAATGTTTACTCAGTAAACAAATCAATAAATTTTGTTTTTCGTTAAAAGATTTAAAAACAATAAAATATTTCATTTAATTATACTATATATCTCTTAAATGTATATCTTGTATTTATTTACTATTAGACACTTCTAGTTATTCAAACTCTGGTTATTAAATCATACATTTTCTTATAAAATGTATAAAAATTCTCGATTATACAAATTGTTATAGTATCGCTGAAGAATAAAACAGATAGTTGAACATATAACTCACGTGTAGCTTATCAAATTTAGTTACGAGGTTGTTGTATTTTCGAAATCGCTTTACATTTCTATTTTACTGCCTAAATAGTATAAAACGAACATGTAGGAATCAATATAGATCTTTGTACCTTACAATGTGATATACTGTATAGATATTAATCTTAAGTAATTTATTTACATTTTATACTGTGCATAAAGTACTTAATGATATGATTTACTATACAGAACAATTGCACTTAAAGCTAATACTGATTTGCAAGAAAATAAATGATATAAATCAAATAGGAAATGAATTGCAATTTCATGTGTTTAATGTGATTATAAATTTAATTTTTCAAGACATCTAAAATATTTAAATCACTTTGGTTATTTTAATTATTTCAAGCACGAATAAATGTTTAAAATGTATTTTAAAACATTTTTATTTGGAACTGCTTGCAAGTGTTTATTATCAAGTATAAAATTTATATTGAGACACTTTAGAAGTAACAAGCTACAAGACTGTTTATTTTGTACATGATAATTTAACTTTTTAGATTGTAAAACATTAGGCAGCAATAAAATATATGTTAACATAATCGTTAGAATTATTGTAATACTTTTCAGTGTGATAATAAAAATGTTATGTCATAATATATTCTTTATTTCTTATTTACTATATCTCATAAATATATTAAATTAAAAATATCGCAGCGTCGTGCAATATTTCTTCATTTGCATAATGTCCTGGAATGCATAATGTCATGAAATAAATGATTTTAAATTCATAAATATTCAAATTAAAAGTACAACTGTTTACTTGACGAAATTGTTGTTGGACTTTATACTGTATTGTATATATACTGGTATGAATTTATGTAACCTTTTATAGTAAAATTACATGACATATAAATTAAGCACTTGTGTACTTTAAATATGTAATAATATAAAAATATCGAGAATACTATGAAATATTTTCTTATATCATTTTTGTATTTACTTGCGTTAGACTTTAATCAATCCATTATATATAATCATTCAGAATATGTACGTATATGGTTATGTACGTCTATTTTTTTACGAAAAAGAATATCTTTTTTATAGCTTTTTTTAAACTTCAATGCAAAATAAATTAAAATAGAACAATGTTGTACATTTTATGTAATGTTCATCGTATGTCAACTAATCATAAAGTTTTAACTAGAGCTAAAGTATTATGTTCTAACCTTTTATTGTTTGCGCGTTGCAAATCAGGTAAAATAATTAAAAATAGACCAATTGTTTCTTACATCGCGATATAATCGTTTAATTATTCTATTTTAACTTTAGATAATAGCATGGTTGTTAGTATTGGTGAAGTTTCAAAAGTGGTGAAGGTACCACGAAACCCTGAATATGTGCCTAGAAAGTATTGTAAGTCAAATAATTATATTACTTCTTTTGTTCTTGAAGAAAACTAATGTAACAATAACTTCCATGGAAATAGTGTTAAATACATCTACTCAAAATGAGGACGCATCAACGTTGAGACATTTAAAATGGATGCTCCAAAAGGATATTTTGTCTCAAGATATCTTTTTAATTGGAGGACCAGGAACTAGACGAAGAAAATTAGCTCTTGCTTTCCTTGAGTTTACAGACCGTGAAGTAGAATTTATAGCACTTTCAAGAGACACAACAGAAGCAGATTTAAAACAACGCAGAGAAATAAAAAGTGGTACTGCCTATTATCATGATCAAAGTGCTGTAAGGGCTGCAACAAATGGAAGGATTCTCATTATTGAAGGTGTTGAGAAAGCTGAAAGAAATGTACTTCCTATTTTGAATAATTTATTAGAAAATCGTGAGATGCATTTGGAGGATGGAAGATTTCTTATTCCTGCAGCACGTTATGATAAGTTATTGAAGGTATTGATATATTGTGCATTGATTTCACATTATTAATTATATGATTTAGTAAGAATATTTACATAATTCATGATTTACTTTTTCAGACATACAGTCAAGAAGAATTAGATAGTTGGAGACTTGTTAGAGTTAATGAAGATTTTAGAGTTATTGCATTGGGCATGCCAGCACCAAGATATCCTGGCCATCCGCTTGATCCACCTCTCAGATCTAGATTTCAAGCTAGACATATCTCATCTCCAAGTTTTGAAGTGAGTATATTAACAGTATATAATAACAAAATTAAATATCAATAGAACTTTGTATTTTGAGATTAAACTACAGTATAATAATTCATCATCTCATTAAAAAAACACAATATTGCATGATGCAGCATATAGTATATGGAATTTTTGCATTAGTTCATTTATTCAAACAGTTCATTGAAAATGATCATTGTTTGTTTTTTTGCCTATATACATCTATCTGCATATAGTACTTGCTTAGAGAGAGATAGATAGAGATAGAGAGAGAGAGAGAGAGAGAGAGAGAGAGAGATTTGCAAGTTCGTGAGTTATAAGTTTCATGTGACAACGCGCAGTAATTACTGGCGCGTCACGAAGGAGATCGTGGCGCGTGTAATTTGCTAAAGTTTTACGTGATTTATATTGCGTTGTATCGTTCGGTATGGGGTGCGGAGGTTGTACAAACCCCTCCAGTCGGCCATCCCTTCCGGAGCCGGTTTCCTTCCTATATAAACTGTTCGTAGCTGCGCTGGTCACAGTCATCGCAGTTTGGATCGCGTGTCGCGAGAATAGTGAAACCTTGTTTGTCCTCTTGTTCAAAGGGGAGTCAATACGTCGGAATTTAGTCGAATCAGAAATTCAACATACGGTGTTACTGAATATACGAAGAATTACCAAGAACTAACGTTTATATATATGAGAAACGCTCAGAGAAAATTATAACGATAACGACAAATTAAAAAAATATTTGTAAAAAAAGAATCATTACATAGTTTGATAAATTTTTTGAAATTCTCAATGTATTTCTTTTTTCGTACATTATTGTTGATTTGACAAGTTAATAAGTAAGTCAATAACCGATAGTTGAATAATGCCAACGATATGGCCATCATCAGAAAGACCAATATCCGTTCGTACTGTCTGGGTGGACGGTATTCGACATGCGATCTTATCACCCGATGATCCATTGATCCATTCCAAATCACGTCGACGTACCCGCGTATCGAGAAATAAAGGTTACCCGACGGAGTATCAACAGTTGGAATCGAGGCTGGATCGGCTGAATAATTGTTTCACAAACTTGCAAATGATAGTTAGCAACGATCTTTCAGAAGCCAGAGAAACGTCCCAGATGTACCGTAAACTATCCGCACCTTCTTGTTCCAGAATATCGACTAGTACCTCTGATACTAGCGTTTTAGAATCCCTTTTAAACGACAATAAAAAGATGAGAAAGGAGTATCACTGCCACAAAGCGATGAAAAAAGATTCAGATTTCCTTGCTGGCAAAGAGATTTTTAAGAATAATGTTTGTGAAAGAGGAACATCAGAATCAGAGCCAGATTTTAAATTGAACATAACAGAATGTAGACAGGCAGAGGGAATGTCCGACAACTTTTGGAATCCATTATTCGAAAGAGTTCTTCAATGGTTGGATTTATCTGGAAGAACACAATGCTCCAAGCACGATTTCGAAGGTCGCTTTGCGGAAAGATCGTCAGACGAGGAGGAACAGAAATTGAGTGCTACCAAGGGAAGATTCCCTCGTTTGAAACGTGACTATTTCGAGGAGAGGGAACGAATGGCAATGAGAAGCTGCAAATTACACAAAGAGCAGAATTCAGAACGCTTTAAGAGGGAAGAAAGTAAAATAATGGAAAATCGATTGCCGAAGATAAAGAATACGAGGGAACAGTTTCAAGAATCGAGCGGAACGTTAACCGGTGCAAAGATGTTTTCAAAGTCTGAAGAAGAATCAAAAACTGAAATTAAAGAAAAAGCGTCGTCGAATATATGGCGACCTCCTAGCCGGCTGAAATTGCACGTAGTGATACCGAGTCTCGCTTATGAAGAGAATCGCGCGTCCTCTCAAGAATCGTTACTAGACGACTAAAAACATTTAATCAATCACATTACGCACGTATTAGCTGACATCTAATTTCTCACGTACATGTTATAATGTCTTTTAAATTAATTTTCGCTGCAAGTCTATTTCTAACAAGAAATTTTTATAAATCTATATAGATTAATCAGTTGTTAGAATGCTCATCCTAAACGATCCGAAATTTCTAGTGTTTCTAGTGATAGAAATCAATCAAAGATCCCAACAAATTTAATACTTGCATCATCTAAAGGTAATTATTCATCATACGTACATACTTATTTATTGTACATTCATTTATTTCATATTTATTATAAATACTATATCTCATCTTTGTTGTAAATATTATAAGTGCTTACCGTGTTTTTTAATTTTCTTATAAAGAACTGCATCACTTTCGTTTGTTCAATTATAATACATTATTTTATCGTGGTGGCCGCACGCGGTATACGATAATTAATCTCCGAATGTTAACCAGTATATACGCGTTAGCTCGGTTAATCACGGAAATACGCATTTGCCATTTACGCATACCTTCATATTCATTCATAGCCAGCTACCACGCCTGTTTCATCCTTGCTCACGAGCTCCTACTAAAATTCAATACGTCCAAATAAATTCAGTTTTATCGAGAGTCAATTCGACATCCATTATCCTGCGCGTGAAAGAGCAGCTGGAAATGGTGCCGGTGCGAGACGTCGCGACCGAAGAACCTTACACGCTTTCAGCGTCATTTGTATCGTTTGCAAATTTGACAAAGTAAATAACATATTCGTGGCAAGGGTCGCTTAAAAAGTCAAATGTAATCAAGGGGTATTTAACTACTTTCGAACGTTTCTCTCCAAGTCGAAACGACAGAGTTTCCATTAGTACCTTCTAAAATTTCGCGTCACGCACTGCTCGGTTTTACACGTAAAGGTTTTCGTTTGTAAAACATACGCAACCTAGTATTGAAAGTAGATTCACTTGGTGCGTACCTAGCTCTGTAAGTAGCTCTGTTATTTCAGGCATTGGGAGCAAAAGTTATTATTGGCATCGAGTTATGTTCTTTCCGAATACGATAGACTGTATTAATCATACAGTAATGATCGCGTAATTGCGACACGTTCATAAGGATCGAATGTCTTACATAGCTGGGATAGAGAGCTATTATCGTGTAATAGTACCAATTTGATTCGTGAACTTAAGGTGCATTGAACTTCGATGATTCATTGGAAGCAATAAATCATCGAAGCGTGTTTGTAGTTTCGAATAAAGACATTGATGTTATGAATTTTAAAAAGTCTCCGGAGGTTCGTCACTCGTATCAGAGACTTGTATCATTATTCACGAAGAGCGAGCAGTGTCGATCTTATCTCGAAATACAACTTTTGTAAGGAAAGTTTGCAGTTACTCAACGCTGCAGCAGTTACTCCTAAATTGCATTCGTTTCGCGAGTTATTGGGAGTGACATCAAACGCCAAGCCATAATGTGATTCAACATGCGATCGTCATCCGTTCGTGTCATTAATAAAAACTTTCAGCTTTGGAAGAGACAATACGAACGTTTGTAATGAACGCATGTTCCGCAACCATTTGTTTGAAAAATATTCAACTTTGCCATCTCGTAAGAAAGTAATCAAGCTTCCTCTATATTTATAAACACCGTGGAAACGATTCTGTCTGACTGTGTGGATTATTTCTATTTAATCTCAACAATATTAAGGTCATTATCGTTGTTAAAATTTCGTGGCTCCATTTTGTTAAAATTTTCATGTACTGATAACTAATAAGTAATAATTGTCTGCAATAAGGCAGCCATTTTACATCAAAAAAGAACTTTTTATATATAATATTTATAATATTAAAAAGAACGTTTCTATGATATTTGCTGGATAAATTTAATTGATAAATATACATGAAATTTGTTAAGTATGTTGAATACGAGTACGAATGTTTGAATATACAGTTCGTTTGTTCTTAACCAAAATAGGAATATCGGAGAGATTCAATTTAAGTTGGATGAATATCAGCGGAATCTTACTTCTTTCTTTTCCTTTGGGATCTATTCCGAGGGTTGTTGAAGGGATCGTATTTTCCCGGAAACCGTGATAATCGCGCCGATAGCACCGAGAATGTAGCTCAATTGAAACTTTTCGATAGATATCTGTAAGCTATCCAGAGGGTTCCGTGCCGAGTGGTAGTTATTATCGTACTTATCGTGGCGCGCGGTGGAAAGCTCTCTTGGGTGCTAATCACTCGTGTGGACTGTTTCAAACAAATTGTGGTGTAACATTCCGTACGCGGAGTTGTTCACAATTATGCGGGATATGCGGCTCTCGGGCAAACGGAAATCATGCGGATACCTCGCGGAAGTAACGTAACCGTAACTCCGAGGTATCACGAAGGAGCGCGAATTATTAACTTCTGCTCGTTTGAAAATTAAAGTCATCGTAGACACTACGCTTCAACGCACTCGGCGTCGAAGTTCAAACAAAAGTTTCATCGGCTGAAACGCTTCGTTGAGCAAACTTGTCATTGACCATTTTTTTTTTTTTTTTTGATTTTTTGATTTATTTTAGGAGCAATTGAGCACGTTGAAAAATTTAATTACGCACGGCGACACTGCGAGATTGAAGCAGCTGTTATCATGCTCGCATGCTTTCGTCACGCAAGAAGCTGTGTCCCTAGGTCTTCCGGATTTTCCGCTGGACAATTTGACATCCGTCGTTACTATAATGGTAAATTCTCTTCATTCTAAATTCTTTTCTTCCATTTAGAAATTTTGTTCTACTCTACTTGTCTGTAATCGTAGGATAAGTGTCCATACCTGTCGGTGTACGATATATTTTATAGATGTTATCCGTATAAACTGTTTCTGGCGAAAGAGGGCCAATCGGCCGTCGAGAGTATCCTCGAAACTTTTAATATACCGCAACCGACGACGAACGATGTTATAATTTCAAACGTAGGCAGGAAAAACGAAAGAGAAAATTTCGTGGATGTCAGTGTAAAGCATCCTACTGGAGAAGTAGGGTTAAACGTAAGTAGACCTCTTGAGAAGGAAACAGAATTGATGAAATTTGGAAATCGTATTTCACGCGTGTATATTTTACTGACAGGTTTCTTGCGGCACCAAAGGGTTAAACAAAAGATCACGAGATAACAAATACGTAGAAACGAATTATCAGAGTAATTTATTGGCGAATTTGTTGGAGTCACACCTTGTTTCCGACATTTGTCTGATCGGTCCGAAAGGATGCGGGAAATCGATTACTGTACAAACGTTAGCCAATTTACTGGGATACGAAGTCGAACCGGTAGTGTTGTATCAGGCAAGTCTCTCCGAATTAATTCTCAGTGAACGTAAAATTACTTCTGTCGATTGAAGCAACAGTTCATTTGAAACATTTTGGCGTTACTTTCTCAGGACATGACGTCTAGAGACTTGATACAACAGCGCACAACATTGTCCAATGGCGATACGGTTTGGAAAAATTCACCGCTGGTTGACGCAGCCTTGCATGGAAAATTGGCTATATTGGATGGAATTAATAGAATCGATCCCAGCACTCTGGCCATTTTACACAGGTGCATTTTGTTTTTAGGCATTCTGATTCCGACTTCAAAATCGAGTCGAACGAGCGACGCTCTTTTATCGGTTTTGTTCGGTTTTAGATTGGTTCACGATCGAGAGTTACAGTTGCACGATGGCAAAAGACTCGTCAGGGCGGACCGTTACGACGAGATAAAGGAGAAGCACAGTAAATCCGACGCGGAACTGCAAGAATCGGGTGTGTTGCGCATTCACCCATCGTTTCGAATTATAGCCTTAGCTGAATCACCGGTCCTCAACACGTCGTCGAGGCAGTGGTTGAATTCAGAGTTGCTCAGCTTGTTCCTTTTCCACGAAATGAGGCCGCTCACCAAATCGGAGGAGCTTCATATCGTTCGATCGAAGGTGTCTACTCTTCATTATCATACGTTCCTTTTTAATATCAGACAGAGACGTCTCTGTGCATACTAAGCGATGTTTCATCTTGTTCAAGTACGGGGAGCCTTCCGCGGCGTTATTAAACATTCTGGAATTGGCGCACGTGCTGCGATCCTCCAGCGATCCAACTTTACAATCCTTGGCCAGCTTCCTCAGTACGAGACAGCTTCTGAGGATAGCAGAGAGGATGCACAGGTTTCAAACTGACGATGCTTACGACGCGGTGCAGCGCGCCTGTCTGGCTCGTTTTTTGCCAACGATAGCGAAACAAGCGTTGAACGATTGTTGCAATAACGTGAACGTCGTTCCGACGAGAAGCACGCCGAACGTGAGCGTCAAGTGTCAAATTAATGGAAACACCGTGCAAATTGGCGACACGGTTGTCGAACGATACAACACGACAGCATTGACGAAAGTACCTGACGTTTTGTTTTACGACGTGCCGCAGCACGTTGCATTGCTGGAGAATCTGTTGCAAGACTTCAGTTTGGGACAGAATCTGTTGCTAGTTGGGAATCAGGGTGTCGGCAAAAATAAAATTATCGATCGATTGTTGCAACTTTTAAATAGGCCGCGTGAATATATACAGCTACACAGGGACACCACTGTTCAAACTTTGACTCTTCAACCAATGGTTAGGGATGGAAAAGTGGTGTACGAAGACTCGCCGCTTGTGCAGGCTGTTAAATTGGGACACGTGCTTGTCGTTGATGAGGCGGACAAAGCTCCAACCCATGTCACCTGTATTTTAAAGGTATGTACATACGTGCAAACTAAGTTACATAAGTGCGTGTTAGCGTGGAAACTAGCGGCTCACTTAAAGAGGCCTGTGAAACTAATAAGTCCGCTTCTCGATTTGAAGTTGATTTGATCTAAATGAATGAAATATTTCTAAACTTTAATGCTTTGAAGACTAAGAAATGAGAAATTTTTCACCGTTTCCGCATTTAAATATTCATCTTCGAACAATGGAACTTTGCTCAGTGAGAATGTAGAAGCTTAATGCCATAAATCTTCTGCGAGGCTCAAGATTAATATTTAATGCTCACTTTCATGGTCTTTCTGGTTTCAGACTTTAGTCGAATCTGGTGAAATGATATTGTCGGATGGAAGACGTATAGTATCCTCCTTAAATTCCGGTGAAAGAAATTCCAATAAAATATTGCTTCATCCAGATTTCAGGATGATAGTGTTAGCAAACAGGCCCGGTTTTCCATTCTTAGGAAATGATTTCTTCGGTGCATTGGGCGATTTATTCAGTACACATATAGTCGATAATCCGAGCGTTGAAAATGAAATTCAACTTTTGAAACAATACGGCCCGAACGTAGATGAAAAAGTGATATTTAAACTGGTGAAAGCTTTTGGCAAATTACGAAGCATGGCCGATCAAGGATTGGTTTCGTATCCATATTCTACTCGCGAAGTTGTCAACATTGTAAAGCATTTAGAGGTAAGTCTTTATAGCTCAATGTTTTACTTCATCTTTAGTGTTTCATTTATTAATGAATTCTTTTCATTTACCTTTTCAGAAATTTCCTCAGGAACCGTTAGCTAATGTGGTGCGGAACGTGTTCGACTTTGATCGATATAGCGAAGAAACTTTTAACACTTTAGTATCTGTATTACACGATCATGGGATCCCCATTGGGACAGGTCCTACCAATATCGCGTTAGCGAAAGAGTAAGATATTTAACAGAAAATATTCCGTTAAAATAATTTTTACCTAGGCAGAAGTAATCACTTTGATATGTATTTTTGTTCTTTTGAATACGTATTTAATTGTAATAAAATATGGGAAGAATACAATGTTTAATATCTCTTTTCCTTCTCCTTTGCAGAATGTCTTTACCGGAAAGCAAAATCAGTGCTATCTGGAATTTTTCCAGTAAGCAAGACGTGCTGCGCGTGCAAGAAAAGTATATTAAATTAAAATCACCGATAAGTTTAGAACAAAAGATTTTGCCTCTAGATCGCGTTGAGGCTAGATCAACTTTATTTACCGAATTACAAAGTTATTGGACCGTGCCAATTAGTGACACTGCCGTAGTCGCCGGACTGTCAGTTAACCTTGGAACAAAGGGCGATGGAACGGACGATGTGATTAATGTTCTTGTTACGAATCCATTAAAGATATTTAGTATAATTCAAGAATCAGATAGGATTCAAGAAACTGCGTTACATGGATTGATAAACTCTACAGGAGGTAATAGACTTCGATTCACAATGGTGACTGATAGCAATCAAAATGTTTTAGTGTACGAAGAAACAGTAAGTAATTTCTATATCAAATAAATTTTCTTATTAGTAGTATATTGTATATTTCTTTTCAGAATAATGTTCTGTTAGTAGTGAATTTAAACGATGGATCCGTTCAAAAGGTAGAAATACTATCTTTCTTCGATGTAGCATCGAGTAAAATATCAAATGCTTTGAGAAATATAAGTTTTCATCGAAGAATGATGCCTGATTTGTTAAAGTCTCACAATCAAATCGTTTTCTACGTGTATAATTCTAACAAGATAGAAGTAATCGACTTAAACCGCATGTGTTTTTACACGATGAATTTGCCATTCGAAATACAGTCAATTTTACTTCCATCAGAGAAAAAATGGTTGATTCAAGCTAGCAATAAAAACAAATATATTCTCAAGAAATCTACAGATTCGTCACCGTGTCCAAATGTTTTGCAACAAGTGGAAGAATCTAGCAAAAATAGTTCCGAAACTGATTTATTCCTTGGTTGCACTGGTAGCAACTTGAGCAGTAATGCACTCAGTGCTGCATTGAAACAGAAAATAGATTCTCCAAATAGATTGCTAGTATCTGACAACATTTATGCCAGTATTGCTGTTGGATTTCCTGATTTAGATAGTTTCAACGAACTTCATTGTTGGCCGAGACCAAAACAGATTAGAAGCTCTATACCACCTGTTTTTATGAACAACGGACAAGTTATTAGATTGGTTACATCTCGTGAAGTTCCTGATGATGTTACTCCAAACATTGAGACAAATTTAGGAATCATTGGTTATTTAGAAATTGTTGATATCGTAAATCAGAAGCTACGATACATACCTGTACCAAAGTATGTGATTATTCTAGTACAAAGATAATTTTTATCTTGTACAAAGATACTTTGTCGTATTTTCTAAATGCATTATTTATATTTTTAGATCACCTAACGTGCCGCAAATAACTCAATTCTTGTATCCAAGCAAGAATCATTTGTATGTTTCGCCTAAGTCAAATCATGATCTTGTAACGGTAGATGCGAGTGGTTGCGTCCGTCTTTGGGAGACGTCATTAGCGAATATTGCAAAATCACTTGGAGTTTGGCGAAGAATGTTAGGAAACGATAACGAAAACTTGCAAATGACTAAAGAAAGGTATTCCGGATTAGACGTTAGTGGTCCTAAACATGGGAGAATCGATGACAAGAATGAACCGCATGTTGGAGGTAATACATGGGCAGGAGGAACCGGAGGTACGTATGATGTACTACAAAAAATTGTGATACGATGTAAGATGCGAATTAGAAACGAAGGATACAATGAAAATTTCAGGGAGAGATACAGCAGGTCTAGGTGGGAAGGGTGGACCTTATCGCTTGGATGCTGGTCACACGGTGCATCAACTTAGCGATGAAGAGAAGAACGCGATACCGGAATACATAAAGAAGGCAGCGAGAGAAATGGGTCTTAAAGCGTTTCAGCAGCGATTAAGAGAAATTAATATGAGTGAATATGATCATAAATTGTACTCGCAGTTTAGTGACGCTGTTCAAAAGCAGGTTAAAGCGCTAAGAACTATAATAGGTTAGTATATTTCCTCACTGCGATAATTAATATAAATGTTTATTTTAATATAAATCTTTATTTTAAATCTTCAATAAATCTGGAAAAGCTGCAATTGCTTTTTGTAGATAGCCTGCAGGCAAAAAGTAAAGAACGTCAGTGGTGCAGGCACCAAACTTCCGGAGAATTGGACGATACGAAATTAATCGAAGGATTAACAGGGGAAAGAACGATTTATCGAAGAAGAGCAGAGAAAGAGCCCGAGCTCGGCGCTCCACCGACAAAACCGAAGCGTTTAAAATTAGTGGTGGACGTTTCTGGTAGCATGTACAGGTTTAATGGCTATGATGGACGTCTTGATCGAGAAATGGAAGCTTGTGTCATGGTAATGGAGGCGTTTAGTGGCTACGAAGGGAAATTTCAATACGATATCGTTGGTCATTCAGGGGATGACTATGATATAGTTTTCGTAAAGCACACTCAACCACCGGTGAATAACAAGCGCAGATTAGAAGTAATACAGGTAATAGCAGTTGAGAAATTGTTCCGATTAAACGTGAGATTAAAATATTACAAACGAAATAATTTTTTTCAGAGGATGTATGCACACTCGCAATTTTGCTTGTCTGGTGATAATACTTTAGAAGCAACTCGACATACGATCGCGAGCCTAGCGAAAGAGGACGCCGATGAGTGTATCGTTATTGTACTTTCGGATGCCAATTTTGAACGCTATGGTATTCGCCCTGAGAAATTTGCAAAAATTCTCACATCAAATCCAGATGTTAATGCATTTGCTATATTTATCGGATCCTTAGGTGATCAAGCTTTTTAGTAAGTGTATAATGTTTGATATTAATAGAATGTTTGAATACTTTGTCAAGAATGAAGATAAAAATGTATATTCTTTATTTTAAGTTTAACCAAGAATATAACTGCGGGACGTGCGTTTGTCTGCATGGATCTCAAGGATATACCTCGAATTTTACAACAAATATTTGCTGCTTCTTTGTTAAGTACTACAAGGGCAAGTTAATGCTGGTGTAAAATATTTATTGGTGTATTATCACTGGTGTAAAATATTTTGTACCATTTTATAAATATTTATAAGGATAAATGGCCAAGAAACGCATTCTATATATTTACGGTGTTGTTATTATTAAATTATATATACTTTTGCGATGGAATTTGTTCTATCAAAATATCAAAGCAATTTATTTTCACATTAAAATTAGCGTTACTAAGTTAGTTCTATTACCTTTCTTGTCATAATTATTTAAAAATATTGGAAAATAGTCACTAATTTAAATGACGATAATACGTTTCTAAATGTTGGTATCATTGCATCTTCCAAATTTGAACATCTAGTGATAGTAGAACTACGACTCTTATCTGAATAATTGAAAGTAATTCAAAAACATTCTATACATTCTATAAATACCACCACTAATGTAAAACAATTTATCTAATATAATCAATTATGTATATATTGTACAACTAATACTTTAAAAATAATGGAAGAATACCTTTACACAAAGAACAGGACATCTTACCAAGAGTAGTTGTCGAAACGATCTACAAAGAAACTAATCCCAAACATGGGCTTTACTTCCCATAACAGTTACACTGTATACTTCGATGAAGGACGTACGTGTTTCCGCGTGTTGAAGTTGTCTCACGTGTTCCCATCACGAAGAATTACATATGTATGTAGTGGCGTATGGTAAAGTTCAGTGTTCGCGCATCGCTACAGGTGAGGACACGGATGCGCGACGGTGAGGGTTGACGAGGGATCGAGGGTGACGGAGCGAGCCGAAGTTAGCCGAGCTTGCTCGAAGCGAATCGAGAGTGTCGAGTGGTGTGGGGCGTACGTTTGTCAGTCGCACGCCGGTCGTTGAATGGAGCGGGTGTGGAGACGCGTACAAAGTGCCGGGCGTCGCGGTGCTGCAGCTCGCTGTGGCTGTCCTGTACAGCCTTGTCAGCTGCACGTGGACCAACGCGCGAAACGAGGAGGCGCCCGGAAATCTCGCGGTGGGCCGCAGACGATCGTGTGCAATTGTCAAGTGCAGCCATGCCCGGTACATCCGGTACTGATTAGGGTTCGTCGTACCCGGCCCGCGGTTGCCAACTGTGATTGTCCACCGGAATCGCAACCGTGTCCGCATGTACCGCGCACATCGGCTGTACGACGTGTACGAAGGTAAATAAACACAGACAGGTCGTTGCCTGTTTCGCCATATTCCTCTTTAAACCTGTCGTTCCCTTTCTCTTTATCGCTCTCTGTTGTTCTTCGGCATGTACGCGTTCGTACATGTTGCGAACCATTGTAAATCAAAGGGGTGGAAGGCACGAAGGTCAGAGTAACCGTGTGTTGATCGCATTTGCGAAGCCGTAAGTGAAGTTTGTTGCGGCGCGAATGTAGTTTAACTTGGTATCCTTCTACGGGTTGAGGGTACATTCAGTTAACACTGTCTCCTTTGGGTCATTTGCAATTCAGTTGTGTTACTTTATTGATTGAAAGTTTCCTAAATTTCGCGAAAATACGAAAGTAAAAGCTTTATTAATTTTTATTAGTGTATATATATATATTAATTTTGAATATAACATCGAAATCTATTGTAACGGAAAGTGGGAGGGGTTTGACTAGTCGATTAGTCAAATCAGCATCACGTGATTATTACGTCGTGATAAATGTAAAGTTATCGACTGATCGAATGGATGTTTCGAGGGAGAAATAAATCGAATCTCGTATTATAGGTTCATATTCTACAGGTAGGTTGCCGGTGAAATACATAACAGCTTTGATCTCATATTTATTTATTTATCTTGAAATAGGATTTTGTAGAATTTCGTATTAGAGAGCAGTTTTCTCTTGTGACAGATGTGTAATTCTTCTAAAGAGTGAAATAATTTTGGTACGTATCGATAATTAATGTGTAATTAATATTTACGTAAAATGTCTGAAAAATGGAGTACGTATTTATTTGTTTATTGCAAACTGAAATGAATCAATTATTAAGATGTATTTTATATATATTATTTTATATATATTAAGATATATTAAGATAATATTTTATTTCATAAACCAAACAATATATTCATATATGTTCAAATTTATAGGTTATTTATTGTTAATCTGTGCATTGTCATAACCTATACAATGTTTCGTAATATGATTTTGGGAAGATGTCAACAATGTTGACAAATATACTTGATTAATTACTTAAATATAAATTTCCACTATACTGGTTATACTACATATGGAAATAATTACTTTCATCTTACATACTCTGAAGCGAAAAATCGATGAGTAAAAGAGTGTTTTTCCTTCAACGAGAAAGTGAAGTGCATTAATGTTTTGATATTTTCTATGCTTTTATCAATGCTACATACGATCGAGAATGGTACATTTCTGTGTTAAATAATATTCTTCGAATTTTAGTATTGTACTTCTACGTTAACAAACTTAAAACCTCGAGTTTGGCGAATGTAATTTTGCACAATTTTCAAAGTTTTATTAAAATTAATAGAGTTTCCTAATTGGTTTTCAAGAAAAAGGTCCAGATCAATTTAATTTCTGGTTCACGAGAAATTCTTCTTTAATAACAGACACCTGATACTAATTTACCAATATATAGTTTATAAATTCTTTGCAAATCTTTTGTAAACAAAATAAGAATTCGATTCTTTCGTAAATAAAATAAGGATTCGATTTTATTTGCAATTTAATTTTTTCGTACGTTGTTCCGAGTAATTTAAATTTTTAATTATTTTGCTTTATTTCGACTTGATTATTTTCTTTTGACGAATTGATGACATAGTACAAGTCATAAATGTAAATTGGGTAGATACAACATCGTTTGAACATACTGCATAGTACATAGTTTGCAACATTGCCACAGGTATGTAATTGAGCAAGTTGTAATGAGGTAGGGGAGTCGTAAGATTCATCAGCATCGTGCAAATTACTTTATGTTGAATCAATAACCATTATTCAATTAACAGCAGTTCAGTCGTGAATGAACAGAGATAGTTTCATTTTATTTTTATTTGTTTATGTTCTCACGGAAAAAGATGTATCAAATACAAAAAAAGTAAAAAAAAAAGTACGAAGGCTAAATTCGAAAAGAAGCGAATGACACTTGGCCAGATCTATAATCGATATCGTCAGGATCTGACAGAACCGCGATTACAGAGAAAGCCAATAACATTTGGTAGAATTTATCCAGGCTAGTATGAGTTAGAAACGAGTGGACATGACAGAACGCGTTCAAGCCCAACAGGATTCGACCGAGTGTAATATACTTTGGTTCAATACGATTCGAACGTTGTAAATGTAGCTCGGTGATCGCTGGAATTCAGTCAAAGTCGACTAACAAAAGTCAGAATCTGTTAAATTCGAAGAGACTTGGATGCTGATGGCATAGGTCGCTGGTAGATGGATACGCGTATGGTTCAGTTATGGACGTTTGAATGGGTCTCGTAAATTATCAATATATAGGTCACGGTGTCAACGACATTCACCCCTGTTCTACAGAGGTGAAACTTGATTCTGATCGTAAATATGTAACTGTAACTAAGTTTCTGTAGAAGTACGTACGACTGGGTAGATTGTGAATAGGTTTTGATATTAATAAAATTATTTTTCACGTTCATAGACGCGACGTATTTCTTTTTCTCGTTTGAGGTCAGAGCTTTCGTAAAGCTCTATCTTTTGATATTCAGACAGCACTGTGCACAGAGGCATATTTCTGGTTGAAGTTGTACGTACCTTTTTTTTTTACTCCGTTCTGGCCGTGTACCAGAATATTACCGATATCAAGATTTACTGGCCTTAAAGGTGGCACGCTGTTCCCTGATATTACAGCCTTGTCGTTTCACACAGTCGCGAGAATCCACAAGTTTTGCTACATGTAATTATTTATTCCACCGAGTCGTGATCATCTCCCTTTCAAAAATCCCCTCTAGTCAGGCAACCAAAAAGTCTAAGTACTCTAAAGAAAAATGCAAAAGATAAAAGTACAACCTTGGCTCTTTCGTATCGTAAAAGGAAACTTGATCTTTGCACGTCCTGTACATTCTGCATATTTTACCGCTTTAAAAACGTCCGCCCCTTTGAACGTGGAATATTCTCAGACCATTCGATAACACCATTCGTTGCACGTTGCAGATGCGACTGTCCAGAACGGCCTTGCCGACATTCAGCAGGAAGCGGTGGTACGCGGCATCGAGTGCTGGTCCAACCCTCTTCACCCACATTTTCTCAAGCGAGCCAGTCGAACCAGCAGCAACAGCAACAGCAGCAGCCGTGCGAGTGCGCCGAAAGAATAAACTGCACCCATACAGGCGGCGGCGAGTGCGAGTGCGGCGAGGAAGCAAAGCCGTGCTCGCACACGGTCAGGCAACGCCGGTCGCGTCGCACGTGCGACTGCAGTGGAAGTGGCTCGCAACCGTGCAGCCATAAGCCACAGCACGAAGGACGGATTAAGCGTGTTAAGTGCCGCGTTAGGCGAGCCGGTTGCGCCATGGCCAGGTGCACCGCGGAACTCGCGATGTTACACCTGCACTGGGGCCTCGCCACCGAATGTGCGCCATGCAGACCGCGCGCACTCACGCGACGGCTCTGCAGGAGGCAGCAAAGCGACAATGAACTCTACAGGAGCAACAGCTTCAAGTTTGAGCGATTCGAGAGGAGCAAGGACGAGTGCGCGACCCCGTTGCGGAAACAGGTGAGTTCGCTGCACCATTTGCTTACCAATTTCTCTTGAATTTCTTTCGTTTATTCGAATTATCATTGTCGTCGCCTCTGTGACGCCAGTGATATTCGAACTTTGTTCCAATTGGCTCGTACTCGACAGAAATTGGGTCAGTTTTGTTACTCGAGCGAAGAGTATTTTTTTATTTCGTGACACACTGTGATAACGAAATTTTGTATCAATGAATTTTTTTTAATATCGGAGTTGTTACGTTGCGCCCTTTGTGACATTCGAAGTTTCTTTCAATTCTATTTAACGTTTGGTTTTACAGAAATTGAGTCAGTTTGGTCACGAGCTAAGAATATCTTATTTGTGACACATACATAATTGTGTAGTAACGAAATTATGTATTAATGAATTTCTTTAATACTATATTTAAAATTATATCTTTAAAATACTGTCTTTAAAATTATATTATTTCTTTTCCGACGTGAGTGATATTTGAAGTTTCAATTGGCTCGTACTTAGAGAAATTGGGTCAATTTTGTCACGAGCAATGACACACTTGCGTAATAACGAAATTTGCTTGAAAAGCAACGTTTTCACATAGTTTAGCAATAACTTTCAGATGTTTTTCATTACGATTATTAAAATTATGTTATTGACAAAATTTATACAATAGAAATATGATTACGTATGTCTATAATTATAATCGTTTCTTTTATTATATATTTACGTAGACACGTATTAGCTCTATGAATTTTCACTTGTTGTTGCATGAATTATCCATTGGTTGGTGGGATATGAAGTTCAAATGACCCACGTTGGCATTTTTAGAATGATGACACGATTAGATACTTCGAATATTAATTTTTGCCGAATTAATTTAGCTTCCTTGATAATAGAATCACAGATTCTACTATGATTTAACTATGAGTTAACTAGATAACAGAAATCAAAGTTCCACTTTACTGAGATATTACATCGAGGAAAAGACGCAAATTTTGTGCTTCCTCCGGCATATAACGAAATTGTTATTGCTTTTAAACGATCACTTTAGTTCGAAGTATTTTTTGAAACGAGAGAGTGACGCTTAATTTACGCTAATTATTCGCGTGCTTCATTCTTCTACACGGTAATGTTTCCTTGCATTTATAATCACCGTAATAGCACGGGTTTTTCACATTTTGCAAATATTATACAGTTAAAGCTGTTCGAACAATGTCGTTTTAAATATGTACAATGAACAATCATCGTTATTCGTGAAATGCAAGCAGCTCGTAGTATCGCAACACATACGCTCGTATATATTTTTACGCGTATCGAGCTTTTAACTCTGTATTAATTAAATCGTTGAAACAACCACGCTTTGATCAACAAATTCTATAATACACGAATACTTTATTTCGGAGCTTCGATATTCAATGAATATACGAATGAATTTGTGCGTGTTTCAAGTTATCGCGTTCAATTATCACTGAAATTTAACGATCCAAGTTACAAGTATCGCGTCGAAGCTGAAACGATACCTGAGAGATCGGTCTGAAATTCCTGTTGACCGGAGTAATTTTGTCAAATGAAGACCGAAATTCACGGGCACACTTGCGAGAGAGCTCTGTAGAAGGCAGTAGAGCGACAGTCACTTCTACTTTCGACACAGCTTTAAGTTTGAGAGTTTTAAGGGCGACAGGGCTTGCTATGATATTCCACTTATTACGCAAACGAGTATATGCTTCACTGCCAGTGGTAGAACATTATGTTTTTGTTCCTGAACTTTGGTCACATTAGCAAGAAAAAGGGAACGAGGGAAATTCATTGGGCTATACACGAGCGTCGGGTCAAAAGTTTCCCGATATTTTTGTAAGAATTTTAAAGGAACAAATTTTATCGTCGATATTGAATTTTTTAAATAGTACTATATATTTAATAGTACTGTAGTATAACTCTAGTTTAGATATACTATATATATATTTAATATATATACTATATATATACTATAATACTGTAGTATAACTGTAGTATAACTCTCCAAGTGGGTAATAATCGGAAGAAAATTGCTTTCGACGAACAATTTAAATAGGAAATTAAATAGAATTAAATCTCGAGTAGAAAATTCTCCAAGTAGAAAATTTCACTCTCCAGGCGATGGAAGAAAATTGCTTCTGAAGTGAATGTTGATCAAATCGAGAGTTGTCGATCTCGCTCGTTCCCGAAATCAGGCTCATCGCCTGTCGATGAAAATTCCTCGTCAGCTGTTCGAAAACCACCGGCCGGATACAAAAGTATCCCAGAGAGCATTAAAGAAACTATTTTGCTTTTATTGTGGAGAATGTGTCTCCAGGCGAGGACGATGAAGATTGCACCTGCGACGGTACATACCTATATATCGGTATAAGACGCTTCTAGGGATTCCATCTCTGAAAAGAGAATTTAAATTGAAGCAAGATGGAGTTACACCAAGTTCGTGAATACGAAACAGTCGAAGCATGTCGCTTTTATGATATTCAGCCAGCGGGATGGCGAGTGGGAGGGGGTTTCTTAAATGGATTTCACGGCGCGGTGATACCACGTCGCCGAAATTTCCTGCAAGCGATGGATGCAGGTTACACGGTTACGTGGGCGGAAAACTTTTGCAACGTCACACTCGATATTGAATAACGAACAACATCGAACGCTTGCAACGCAGCTTTTTCCTTGGTGTGAAATATTTTCAAATGTTTTTCTTTCTTTTTTTTTTATCAAGCGCTTTTTATCAAATGTTTCTCCTTTATCAAGCGTTTCAACAACGGTACGATTGTTTGCCCGCGACTGCCTCGTTACGTTAAGAAACAACGATTTTAAAGTGAAAATTATTCTCGCCGTACTTGGCATTTATTCGTGTATATGCTCTACTTACAATCGGCAGACTTCGTACGTACGTATGATTCGCGTGATGTGGCAATTGCTTGTTAGACGTCGGTTTATGTTTACCGCGCAACTACTGCAGTAGTGTAATCGAATATAGTCAGACAGTTACCAGCGCTTAAACACACGAGGATCTAAACGAGGGAATTTTGAACGAAGATCGTGTGTAAACGGTTTCTCCAACCGTTTGAAAACTTCGACCCTCGTCCGAGAAAACAATTTACAATTTTCGTGCGTGTTGTTTGTCCTTTTGAAAGAGTGTAAATCGGATCGATCGCGCAAGGTGAATTTCGTTCGGAATATGCATTGCAAAGTGCAAACGAAACGCACGTATCTCGACGTTAAAGAAAAATTAAAACGCTGTTTCTCACTGATGAAGGTATCCAGGTTTGAAAAATTGCTTAACAGCTATGGAATATAGAGTACGGTGACACGATTGGCGTTCGCGATAGAGCGTAGAATGGGAAAAAGAGTGACAGGACGGATTATACGGTTATTGGAGAATCTTCTTTTTTTTTTCTCCCCCTTCTCTCCCACTTGGCGTGTATTATATGTACCTCGTTTTTCATTGTTTTCTGCGGTTCGATTGTGTGTTTGGCTCGCACACTGCTATTATTAAAGTCAATATTATCTTATTGGGTTAAGGATGCTCTCTGTTACGGATTTTAATTTAAATATTTTAATCGCGTGAGAAATTTCCAAGCTATTCGTCGCGCAATTCGTGGAGGAATTTAGAAACGTGAAAGTATCACTGTGTGATACGCGCGAAATAAAAAAGATCCGCGTTTGAATTAATGGAGTGCTTATCTCGCAGAGCAAAGAGAAAACGCGTCCTTCTTTGCCGAGCATTTGCGTTTAACTGGCAATCCTCCGTCTATATGCACTACATATATATATATATATATATATATATATATATATATATATATGTATCGTTGAAGCTTTTCAACCAATTTCAGTTTACCAGTTGGAAGCCGTTTGCGCGTGTTAATACACTTACAATAGAATTTTTATTCCTTGTGGATAACTACTTGAATATGAAGCACGTTTAACGAGAGGATGCGGTCTCCACTCACGCCGCTAATTATCCGTGTACCCTTTATTTCTGGGTGCTAAAGTGCTCTTTTTGAATACCGAAGGCGAAAGCCAAGATTCTAAAACGAACCATTCAGCTGCGGTAATGCCTCGGAGGGGGGGGATTCTGTTTGAAAATCGAGGATTTTCATCTGTTGTCTTTATGTGAAACATGTTTAAGTTTCTAAACCTTTGAAATTCGAAATTGTTCAAATTTAAAGTTTCTCGTGGTTATAATATAATATATAACGTAGTTGAGGGATCAGGCAAGTTTGAAATTTTCAAAAAATCGATTTTTCTTTTTTGTTTTGTTTTAAACAGTAGTTTGAATACAAAAGGCTTATTTTGGGGTATAATAATAAATCCGCTGATACAGATTAATTGAATTTGTATCACTGTTTGCAATTTTAAGCAGCATTATTAAGTGTAAATTGTGCGATTCAAATATTACTTTTGGCGAATCGAATATTAGGGGACTTGGATTCAATTTAGTTGTGAATTGTAAGAACTGTGAGCCGCGATATATAAGTAGAAAAAGTAAGCAAAGGATACGTATGAAAAATGACGTTCTGAAATTTTTAAACGCGTTTCTCTTGAAACTAGGTTTTTAGAAACGGTGTGCAAGATATCTCGGAATCTAAACCAACCGATTACTGTGAAACTTGGTGCGTATCTTTAGCGTAACATTTACTAGGGATTGACGATCGAACATTTTTTAATTTTTAACAATTTCGAAAAATATAAACAAAAAAACGTAGAAATTTTTGGCGTAAATTCGACACATTAAAAACAGATAGCTGCTATTTTCATAATTTTCACAGAAATGAAAATCTTGGATCGTCAATCCCTAGAGAATATTGTTCACTTTTGAATTTTTTTTACCTTTTTGTTGCAACCAATCCTGTTTTGCTGGAATCATGCACACCGATAGGCAATGTAAAAAAAAAAATTGTGTAAAAGAATGCCGTTAAAAAGTTAAATAAGAGCCCTCTTTTTTTCTCTTTTAATGTTGCTTTTTATAGTTCATAGTGTGTTAAAATAAACCGCAAAAGCTC